TGTGACCCGACACGAGATCCGTGGCGCGCTGAGCATCTGATGCCTTTTCTGTCGTCTTGGGCGCATGTGGACCTCAACTGTCAGCCGAGTCCGGGGTTCTGAGGCTTTTGTAAGAAAAGGCTGCACTGGGCAGGATGGGCGGAGGAAGTACCGGTTTCTGTCGTGTTTCTCAGGCGTCGGCCTCAACCTCAAGCTTCCAGCAAGAGCAAGGACCCAGCGGAGGACCAGCCCTTCCCGGGGCTTTTGCGGACAGAGAACCTCGGCGTGGAAGAGCTGGTTGACGTGCTGAAGGCAGCTGTGGTAGATCAGAAAGGTGAGGGAGCCTACTGCTCCTGACCCTCCGACCCCCTGGAGTCGGACCCTTGTAGTTGCAGGAGCCCGGCCAGCAGTCACATCCCCTTCTAGCCTAAATCGGCATCGTGGGGACAGACATAGGAAACCTTCACACCGCCCCTGCGTTCAGAGACCTGCAGTAACAGACCTGTCAGAACAAACTTTGGGATTATAGCTGGGGCCTGTAAGCTGCGTGTGTTATTCCATGAGGAATAACAATTTCTCTGAACCTCTCAATTCTTGTAGCAGTGAGGAAGCTACACGGTACTGGGGGAAATATGGCTCCTGGCTTGACAGATCAAGCGTTCTGATGTGAGAAATGATGGATCTCTGCTGTTTCTGGGAGTGGTGATCACATCTGTAATTCTAGATTTGGGCCTTAGAGGCAAGGAGGATCAGGAGTTCAAGACCAGACTTAGTTATGTGAGTTTGAGGCCAGCCTGTTTGAGCCCCTGTCTCAAACCAAACTGTCAAGGACTGTGGGAGGGATACACGTTATATAAGGGACATTGCAGCCAGTGTGAATGAAAGCCCAGAACAGCAGGTGCAAAGGCCCTGGGGTGCAGGGAGCAGGAAGTTCAGTTTGGAGTGGGGTTGGGAGCTTATAACCCCTGAGACTGCATGCACACAGGCTGCCCTGCTTTTGGTGACATCTCCGGAATGTTTCAGGACCTCTGGTGACACTGAATAAGCCACAGGGTCTGCCTGTGACAGGTATGGGCACGGGTAAGGAGGGAGAGGTTGGTGGGGAGGAGATGGATGGATGGCGCTCTGGCAACGTGTCCTCTCTCTCTCCTCAGGGAGACCTGGGGAGCTGACGTTGCTTTCTGTGCTGCCGCAGCTGAGCCAGGCCCTGGGGCTTGGACACGGGGAGCTCCAGGTCGTGCGAGCACCTGGAAAGTGAGTGCTGACTGCCCGGGGCATTTATTTTACACCCACTCCATATAGAAGTCCTATGCCGGTACTTGGCACACGGTAGACCCTCCAGCATTGGCTCTGCTTTCTCCGGGGGCCACAGAAAAGGTCTTATGGGTTGTTTCTTAGGAGGTGTGGACTGTAGCCCTGGCGTTACTGTTTGGCCTTAAACTGATGTTCCTTTTGTTTATTTGGCCTTTTGTTTGTTTTTTAGACAGGGTTTCTCTGTGTGAAGCCCTAGCTGTCCTAGAAATAGCTCTTGTAGACCAAACTGACCTCAAGCTCACAGAGATCCGCCTGCCTCTGCCTCTGGGATTAAAGTACTGGGATTAAAGGCATGCGCCACCACCGCCAGGCTGTAATTTTGTATTTTATGTGCATTGGTGTTTCACCTGCATGTTTGTCTGAGGGTCTCAGATTCCCTGGAACTGGAGTTCAGACAGTCATGAGCTGCCATGTGGGTGCTGAGAATTGAACCCGGGTCCTCTGGAAGAGCAGCTAGCATTCTGAATTGCTGAGCCATCTCTCCAGCCCCTTGGAGGTCTCCTTTAAAAAGACCAAAGATTTGTTTTTATGTAATGTGTGCGTGTTTAGCCTGCCGGTGTGTCTGTACACCACAGTGCATGCCTGGTGCCCCAAGAGGCCAGAAGAGGGCATCAGATCTCCTGGAACATGGTGGTAGCTGTGAACCACCATGTGGGTGCCGAATGCAGGTCTCTGCAAGAGACCCAGGGGCTTTATGTGACGTGTCCCCTTCTTCCAGGGAGGCCTCTGGGCTTGTGCTCCTCTCCGGCTGTCCCCAGACAGCAAGCCGCCTGCAGAAGTTCTTCGCTCACTCGAGGAGAAGCCAGAGGCCCACAGCCACCTACTGGTGAGCGGTGCGGGGTGACTCCCAGGGCTAAGGGCCAGTCCCAGGTGACTGCTCTGAGACCTCCTTTCTCTTTCTCAGTGCCATCACTGATGGCATCCCTGAGCCTTCTGAGGGGACTGTCAGCGTGGCTCTGAAGCTGGAACGCATGGATGGCATTGATCTTGTGAGTCAGAGGAGAGGAGCCCTTTCAGGTTTTGCCTTACAGAGGGGTCTGTACTGTGCACATGGGGTGGCTAGGTCCCCTGTTCTAAGTCAGCTGGCAGCAGGGCGGGCTCAGTGGAGCTCCCAGGTGTGTGCTAAGTCATTCTTGGCCCATTTCCTAGGCAGTCCCAGTGGCATCCCCATCTCGAAAGGACATCCTAGAAGGTGTCAAGAGGACCCTCAGCCATTTTCACGTGATGGCCACAGGCTGTGGCTGTGCCCTGGTCCAGCTGCAGCCACTGACAGGTGGGTCTGCTGGGGAGATGAAGCCTGTGAGGAAGACGGAGCTTGGCAACAGGCAGAGAGTATCTGGAGGACCCCAAGGGTATGTGGGCGGGCTCAGTGGGAGGCAGCACTTATCGGTGCACACCCACAGTCTAGCATCCAGGGGCTTCCGTTCTGTAGGGTTGACTCCCCAGGTGTGATGGGATGCCAGCTGTCACTGTCCTGATCTGCTCATGGGCCTCTCTCTGAAGGCAGAGGTCACCTCACAGATCCATAGGCTCTGGGAACGAGGACAGTCCTTCCTGGTCAGGAAGAACAGCTGGCTCCTCACCCATCTTTCAGTGTTTCCCAGTCAACTGCAGGTGCACATGGCTCTGCAGCTCTGCCCGGTGCTTGGGGACCACACCTATGCTGCTCGAGTGGGCACTGTTCTGGGCCAGCGCTTTCTGTGGCCAGCCACGACCACCAAACCCCAGACACAGGTAGGTCCTCAGGCCCCTATGCCTGCTCCATTTGGGGGGATTGGCTTGCCTTCTGTGTCCCTGTCTGAGCTGTGTGGCTCAGACAATGCCATACTCCCTCAGGCTTCCTTCTGTCCATGAGCCCAGCGAGGGGGTAGCCAATCTCTAACAGGCCCTGAAGTTCACCATCCTGAGTGTTTCTGTATCATTTCTTCTTTGGGTTAAGTCCAGCGAATGGGCATGCAGTAAGAGTGGGCTTGGCTCTAGGCAGCCACTTGGAGACAAGGACTGTTGCCTTCTGGCCAGAGGGGGAGATAAAGTTTTCGTGGGCCAGGTCTGCGTACTTTTCCTCACATCCCGTTGACCAGAGGCTCAATCATATGGCTTCAGTAAACACAAAAGAGGCTGAAATGTAATTTAGCTCTGTGCAGAGAGAATACTCTGCCTGACTGTAGAGAAAATGACTGCAGTTGCAATAGAACAGGGAGGCTCATCGGGGCTGGGTGCTCCTCACTGCAGACCAGGGAGGCCCATCAGAGCTGGGTGCTCCTCACTGCAGACCAGGGAGGCCCATCAGAGCTGGGTGCTCCTCACTGTAGGTCAGGGAGACCTATCAGAGCTGGGTGCTCCTCACTGTAGGTCAGGGAGACCTATCAGAGCTGGGTGCTCCTCACTGTAGGTCAGGGAGGCTCATCGGAGCTGGGTGCTCCTCACTGCAGACCAGGGAGACCCATCAGGGCTGGGTGCTCCTCACTGTAGGTCAGGGAGACCCATCAGAGCTGGGTGCTCCTCTGGCTGGAGCTCAATGGGCTGCTGTCTTTCCCACCCCAGGTCCTGGATGAAGCTCTCCTCAAACGCCTCCGCCTGAGTCCTTCCCAGGTGGCCCAGATGCCCTTGCACCTGCACCTGCAGCGCCTCCTCCTCCCAGGCACCAGATCCAGGGACCCTCCCAGTGAACTTCTGGCGCCCGTGCCCTCTTACTTCTCTCGGACCCTGCAGTGCCTGCGGCTCTCCCAAAAATAGACAGCGTTTGACCCCCAATCGGAAAATGGAAAGAGGAAGGGCTGTGACCCACGTCATGGACAGTAGGGTTGGTGCTGAGCACAGCCAAGGTCCTGGGCTCCTTAGTCTGCCAATCGAAGATCAAATCCCAGTTAGGCTACTTGCTTGCTGTGTGGCGTTGGGCAGTTGACTTTCCTCTGGACTTAAAATAATAAAAGTCCTACCTCATAAGCCTGCTTTTGAAGATTTACTGAGAAAGCAGATGTTAACCAGGGACTGTGCTCTGCTCAAGTGAGCAGTGGCCAGGTCTGGAGGCGGGATCTGTCCTACTCCGGCCAGGAGGAGCTTTGTTTGATTTTTGAGACTGGGCCTCTCTGTGTATCCCTGGCTGGACTGGAGCTCAGAGATCCACCTGCCTCTGCCTCCCGAGTGCTGGAGGACAGGCATGCACCACTGTATCTGCATGAGCTCTTCCGACTTTGATTTCAACATCCCACTCCCCTCCCCAACCTGCCCAGGACACAGTCACAGGCTACAGATAGTGCAGGCAGCTAACACTAGTGCAGAGGCAGGTAGGAAATGCCACACTTTGTTTCTTGTGGCTTGACCAACCTCTCACTGAGGGAAAGACTAGACATACTCTCTGGAGAAGGGCTGAGGTTTAGGGGAAGCCCATCTCTTGTCAGAATGTTCTGAGTCCATAAGAAACTATTCTGCCAGCCCAGTTTGCCTTTGGAAAGGGGCACTTCCTGATGGCTGGCTTTCCGCCTGCTACGGTCTCAGGTGAGCCTTGTCTCCTTGTTCACACTCAATTTCCTCATCTGTATAGTGAAGGCTCTTTCCCCTCCACCCCAATCTTCCTGCAGAGAAAGCTATCTGTTATTGGATAGGGACTGTGGCCCTTGCTGGTGCAGGCCCTGCTGGTCAGCTCTTGTCTCACATTATTCAAGCCAAGCCTGAAAAACTTTACTTGTTTTTTTTTTTTTTTTTTTAATATGATTCTGGATCCAGGATGGGGCAGTGGAGATCAGAACAGGGGTTTCTCTATCCTTATAGCCCCCCTGGTCCACAGTGTCTGGGATGTCAAAATAAGGGTCAAAGGTTTGGGGAAGCTCAGCCTCTTCTCAGGGTATGCCTCAGCCCTGGGTTTGTCGCAGAGTCTGGCCTTGAACTTGCCTTTGGCTTTGACTTTCCTGTGGGTGCTAGGAAGAGGTCCAGCTTCAAAGGGCAGAGGCCACAAGGCACTTCCAAAGTGGGGGCCTCGAAGGTGCAGGGGAATAGCAGCCTCGGTGTAAAGGAGGGGAGGGAGAGAGATGATCAGGCCTCTGCCCCCTGTCTGTGCCCTTCAGCCCCAACCCCACTGCTCAGCACTACCCGCCAGGGTATGAGGTGCAGCTCAAAGCCCACCTTTCCCGGTTTCAGCATACTGGGTGCCAGCTTGAGGTCAGGGTGAGGTGGGAAGGACATCAGAACCTTGGCAGTGGGTAGAGTCATCAAGGCCTTGCCTGTGGTTGACAGAGCCTTAGAGCCCACCAGCCGGCCACGTTGCAGTCTGAGGACCCGGCCCTGGGGTCGGAGCACGCGGGGAGAAGGCAGCCAGGCCTTGGAATGGATACTAGGGAAGTAGGAAGGGGCTGTGGGAGAAGGGAAGCTGTGAGGGTCTGGGTAAGGCCCCAGAGCCTGACCAGTTTTTCCACAGGGTATGTGGAGAGGTGGGGGCGGGAGGTGAGGGCAGAGGAGCCCCTCCCAGCTCCTCCAGAGGCAGTGGGAAGAACACAGGGTTGGGGAACCAACAGACCTGGGTCTGCATCCCAGCTCTGCCCCTTCTGAGCTGTGCAACCTCAGGCAACGTCCTTAAACTTCCTGCTACCTTGGCTGGAAAATGGGGACAATAGCACCTACCTCACTAGGGTGTTGTGAGGGCTGAGGGGGCTGGTTAGGGATCGGGAAGGGCATGGTAGCAGCACCTTTCCCCAGAGAGGAGTGAGGGCTAAGTCTGGCCAGAGCACAGCAGGGGTCTGGACTCCAGGGCCGCGCAGCACACTCGAGGACCATGCCGGGGCGTACTCTGGTCTAACTGCCTGGCAGGGTGACTACTTTGGAACACTCATTTGGTTGTATATTTAACGACATTTGGTGAGCAGTGTTGGTACTTGCTATCACTGGTGGTCTTTGGGCATGAGGGCAAGCCCAGACGCTTGGGAAGTGCTTGGAGAGCCGGTGGGCATTGCCTTGGGAGCTCTAGGGCACTTGGGGAACATCGTATTACCCCAGGCCTCAGGTTGTTTCAGACACAGAGACCTGTTGAAAATGTGGCCCACCCTGGTGTTTGGGGGCTCCCAGTCCTGGAGGGTGAGGCAGACCAGGGCTGTGGCACTTTTTGCCTTGCCTTTCTTCCCCTTTCCAGAGACGGAAGTGGCGGCAGTTGAGTCTGGCTTCTCAGGGTGTCCCAGGCTTCTGGCTCCAGCGTCTTTCCTAGAAGCTGACCTGTGGGTAGGGGACCCTGAGTCCTTGCCTTCCCCAGAGCCTTGCTGGGTCAGCAGATGAGGGAGTGATGAGCGAACTCCTGAGCGCCGATGGCCCACTGCCATGGGCTTCTTGATGGTAGACCCCTCCACCAGGAGCCGGATACCCACGTACTGGGGCACCTCCACAGCAGGCTATGGGCAGGAGAGAAAACAAGGCCATCGCAGACACTAGTGAGGGATGGCAGGACACCATCTAGTGACTAGTGACACAAGGCAGAGATGGACGGAATCAGTTTCTGAGAAACAGGAAGCTCCCTCTGTTCTCAAGGGGTCCAGAGAACCTAGACTCACAGAGCCCCAGGGAGCAGGAAACCAGAGAAGCAGAGATCTTAGCCATGCAGACAAAGCAGTGAATCCCACTGCACACTAAGGTGACCTCTGGCCTGTGTCAGAATGAAAGCAGGTTCATGCCATGGGCAGCCAGAGGCGGACGGGATTGAGCCATGGTTTTCTGTGTGGATGTAATTCCCATCATAAATACTGAGAAGAGGGATGGGGCTAGAGAGATGGCTCAGAAGTTATTAGCACTGACTGCTCTTCCAGAGGACCCAGATTCAATTCCCAGAATTCACACGGCAGCTCACAATTGTCTGTGACTCCAGCCACACCCACACAGACACACATGCCTGCAAAACACCAATGCACAGAGAAAATTATTTTTTAAAAAAGAGGGAGGTACAGTGACTCCTCCCTGGTAGGGTCTCTGAGGTTGGATAGGGGCTTCAGGATGGACTCCACCTGAATCCTAGACGCTCTCTAATAAAAGGGCAAGTTACAGGCGGTTGTGAGCTGCCTGATGTGGGTACTGGGACCTGAGCTTGGGACCTCTACAAGAGCATCAAATGCTCTTAACTGCTGAGCCATCTCTCCAGCCCCAACCTGTTTTCTTTGTAACTTACACTGTCTATGGTATTATGTTATTAGCAACAGAAATAGATAGATATACGAAGTAATAAATTTGTGGGGGGAGACAATGTTGAGATGGCTTAGTGAGTTAAGGTACTTGCTGAGTTCAAGCCTCAGGACCCATGGGGTAGGAGCCGAGAACGGGCTCCCACAAGTCGGCCTCTGACTTCCACACCTGTGCTGTGGCATGTGTGGCCACACACATACACAAACACAATAAATATAAAGAAAAATTTAAAAAGCTGCAAATGGGTGGGCATGGCTTCTAATAGAGGTCTCCGCTGGCAGCCACCTCGGTCCAAGGTCAAATTTGGCATCAGGAACTAGAGGATCTGCTGGTTGTGCCTTGTGACAGTTCCGTGATGTACCCAGTACCACCTAAGTGTTTTTTGCCAAATGTCTCTCTCTACCCTGAACCTCATCAGCTTGTTAACCTATCTGCTAGTTTACAGGACAGAGAACAGACTGAGCTGAACACCACGAGGGGACAAGCAGATAAAGGAGAATGTGGGACAGTGCTACAGCCGGCCTGCCTGGCCTTCCAAGGGTCAGGATGCGGAGCTGTCCTAGATACAGCAATCAGAGAGACAAAGCCACTAGTGTAGCTACCTTAGTTGCGCAATGGCCCTCAAATCAGATCAGCAATAAAAGATACCTGGGGGACAAAGAACATTTGAAAAGTGCGAATGCCCAGGCATTCAGTTTTGTTGTGAGACAAGGTTTCATGCAGCCCAGGTTGGCCTCAAGCTCACTGTACAGCCAGGATAAGTGTGAACTCCTGCTCCTCCTGCCGCTGCCTCCTGAACGCGGGGGTTACGGGTGTGTGTTACCATGCCCGTACAAATTCCGCTCCAGTTTAAACTGCAGATGACTTCCTCTTTCCCATTTTCTCCCCTCTCTTCTAAGACTACGTTGTTGTGACAGATTCTCATTATAAAGCCCTAGCGGACCTGACATTTGCTATGTAAATCAGGCAGGCTGTGAACTTGTGACAGTCCTGCCTCTGTTGCCCAAGTGCTGGGATTGCAGGTATATGTGGATACTTGCTCATATGGCCTCCCTTACCTGGAAGTGTAGCTCAGTGGTGCCACACATGCCAAGCGTGCAGGCACGGATTCTGTCCCTAGTGATGGCATCCCTAACAAAAACTGAAGCTTGTTGATCAGGAACTGTAAGAAGCACGGGGCCACCCAGGTCATGTGGTCATTGTTTTCCCTTCCTGTGGCTAACCTAGACTTTGGTGGATCCTAGCTGGAAGACTCCTGCTTATAAATAGTTCTCAGAATTCAGAAACCCTTAAAAACATCTTTTCAAAGCTTTGTTTGTGTGGTTGTTTTTAAGTTGGGTCTCACTCTGAATACCAGGCTAGCCTGGAACTCACTGTGTAACCCAAGCTTCCCTTGAACTCAAAGTGATCCCTGTCTCGGCCTTCCGAATACTAGGCGGTGGGAGGTTGAAGCCCCATATCCCGCTGTGATGGCTCACCTAAGCTGTCAGCTTGACTGGACTGAGACCACCTAGGCCCCTGGTGGACACTCAAGGGTGTTTCTAGAGACAATTAGAACAAGAGGGCTTTGACCTTATAAATGACTTCACCCATTGGTGGGTTCAGAATTCTGATAAACTGCCGGGAGAGTGCAGCTCCGTGGAGAGTGGCATGGTGACTCATTCCTGTAAGCTCAGCACTTGGGAGGCTTGAAGCAGGAGGAATGCCGTGAGTTTCAGGCTAGCCTGGGAAATAGCTTAAGTTCTAGGCCAGCCGAGGCTATACAGAGCAAGCCCCCATTTAAAAAAAAAATAAAAAAACAATGAAACAAAGTGATGTTTTTGGCTGAATAAAAAACAATCCTCTTCTTATTATAAACAAGCAAGATCAAATGTGTTTTTGGAAGAGATGAATAGTATAATGATAATCATTATTATAACAATAACAGGCACTACTAATTGATTCTTGATAGACCTCGCAGTTAATGGAGCTCCCATCAGCCGTACTGGGCAAAAGCAGTAGCTAAAGCTGTCCTCTGTCCTCTGGCTAAGCACCCCAAACCCTTGTGCAAAGATCAAACCCCTTCACTGTACAGATGAGCGAATGAGGTGATACCTAGAGGCTTGGAATTACCACTGGAAGCTGATCAGGTCCCAGACCCTCTGAAAATATGTTTCTCAGAGGACAGTAATCTCTACAGATGAGGAGACAGGCCAGAGGGATATGTCTGTGTTAAGACACCCCTTGGGGACAGGCCAGAAGCCCAGGTCTCCCAGCAGCCCTCAGGGCTTGCTGGGAGGTGCCTGTGGGAGGTGCTGGAACATCTCACCTGCTTATAGATGAGCTCAAAGGCTCCCGTGTTACAGCTGCGGTCCAGTCGCCGGTCAATGACCACACGCAGAGTGTCTGCTTGCACACCAGCACAGAGACGGGCAGTGACAGCTGTGGAAGGTGCCATGGTGGGGCTGGCGTTGATCTCAATCAACCAGGGCCGGAAGTCTTCCCCAAACACAAAGTCGGCCCCATAGAGCTCAAAGCTGGCCTTCCGGCACTGCACAGTGTCTTGGGAGGTCTGCAGGGCATGGATCACAGCAGCCTTCATGCCGGGTACAATGACACTAGACCAGGCATTTGGGGCGCTCACCTCCTGCAAGTGAGCCTGAAACCTTTGACTGGACCACATGTTGTCGGGGGGCAGCATCGGGTGCCGGTGGCAGGAGGCCTCCAGGTGTCTCTGGATGGAATTGTTACACAGGTGCACAGAGCTGCAGCGGAGCAGAGACACAGGCTCAGCCCTGGAGCCCAACCTCGGGGCTGCAGGCCGCATCCTGTGGTCAGCCATCCTGGGGAGCTTAACGGACATGGGAGGACAGAAGCTGCCCCTTGTCCCCAGCCCCCATTCACCGAAGGTCAGGGCTAGCCATTTCTCAGAACACTCGGGTGCTTTGGTTCACCCTTCCTGTGTGTGGCAGGGGATGCGACAGAGAGGATGACCCTAGGTGGCCAAATCCCAGCTTCACCAATGACTAGTGGTGAGACTCACGCAAGTCGTGAACCTGCTTGCCCCTCTCACCGCTCGAATGGTAATAACTCACTTCATCGTGTCTGAGAAATGACTGGTACAGCCAAGCAGAAGCACTTATCGCCTGTGAAGTGTCGACAGACAGCTACCGTGTGTTGCTGTATCAGCCTTCAGCTGTGGAAACTGAGGCTGGCCTTTCTCTCTGGAATGGTTGCATGTCACCCAGGCTAGCTTAAAACTTGCCAGGTAACTGAGGATGACAGGGAACTGGTTGTCCTGCCTTGTCTTCCAAGTGCTGGGATCACAGGCATCCACTCCTCTACCTGGCTTGATTTTGACTCCTGCCTTAGCCTCCCAAGTTCTAGGATTACAGATAGGAGCTACCACACCTTGCTTGTTTTGGCTTCAGTGGGGGTCTCATTATATAGCCCAGAATATCCTTAAACTCAGAATCCTTCAGACTTAGCCTCGCAAGTGCTGGGATTACAGATGGGACTACTGGGCCCCGGTAGAAACTGAGGCTTGAGTCGTTTCTCACATCTCTGAAGGATCACAACCTGGATGCTGCCGAGATGGAATTTGAACCCAGGCCTCATCAAGGCTACCTCTCATCCCAAGAGCAAACCAGGAGTTACCTTTCCACTCTAAGTTTCCCTTAGTCTGCTATTACCCGATCTACATTTTCTTCATAACACATATCAGCTTCTAGCCTGTTAGCCATGATCACTCAAGTTCATTGCTAGGGTGTAAGCCCTTGATTAGCCAGAGTTCTCATTCTGCTCACGTCTGTATCCCCGGGGTACTCTCTTAGCAAGTTCCTGCAGGGCAGAGGACGGGTGGTGGTGAAAGCCCCACCTCCCCACCTGCAGAGTTCCCTGTTCTATCTGCTGAGCTCCCTACTAAACCGGGCAGTCAGGGGAGGTGGAGGAAGGGCTCACTTGTCCAGGTTCTTGAGGGAGAAGGGCTGTGTGGAGAAGCGGATGTAGCTGTCTCGGTAGAACCACACAGTAAGTGGATTCCAGTCAGTCACCAGGAACCACTGTCTCAGGTCAAACTTGGTGCCAAAGATGAGCAGGGGCCGCTCAATGTACTTCTGCACGATCCACTTGCCGTCCTTCATCAGCATGGGGTTGCAGTCCACCAGCTTCAGCATCTCTTCCAGGTGGTCCATGCACACAATACCTGAGGGGGAACCCAGCTAGTCAGGACCCGAAGGCTCGAGGACCACAGATCCCATCCTAAGCTCTCATCCCGAGTCCAGCTGAACCATCTTCCCTCTAGCAAAGCTGAGAATTTAAATAGTTTTTCTAATTAATTGTTTACTAAACTTTGATTTGCTATATACAGGTAAAAATTTAACTGAGGGGTGGGGGCTGGAGAGATGGCTTAACATTAAGAGCACTAGCTGTTCTTGCAGAAGACCCCAGCACTCCTATGGCAGAACCCCAGTTCCAGGGGACCTGACACCCTCTCTGGCCTCCATGGGAAGCAGGCACACACACCCTGTACATCCATACAAACAGGAAAACACATACACATAATATTAAATAAATATTAGATAAAAAAACTAGATAAGGGCAAGATGGCTGAGTGGGTAAGGTACTTGTCACCACAGTTGGTCACCTGAGCTCAGTTCTTAGAACCCACGCAGGGGAAGAGAGAACAGACCCCTGTCAGTTGTCCTCTGACCATTCTTTTTTGTTTGCTTGTTTTTGTTTTTTGTTTCTCGAGACAGGGTTTCTCAGTAGTTATGGAGCCAGTCCTGGAACTCACTACCTTGCTTTCATAGGCTCTTATGGGCTTGGAGGCTGTGGGATGAAGCAGGGCCTGTGGGGAGGCTGTGGTGACATTCAGCAGGTGCCATCTCACTCTGTCACAACTAACCCTGGCTACAGGGTCTCACTGTGTAGTTCTGATTGACCCGGAACTTGTTCTGTAAGACCAGGCTGGCTGGCCTTGAACTCACAGAGATCTGCCTGTCTCTGCCTCCCCCGAGTGCTGGGATCAAAGGCGTGCCCCACTATGCCCAGCTTGTTCTCCCTCTTTTTTTCTTTTATTTATTCTGTGACAGCGTATGTAGTCCAGGCTGGCTTCATGCTTACTGTGTAGTCAAGGCTGGCCTTGACCGCTGCTTTTGTTTCCACTCTGGATGATAATCTAATACCCCAGGAACAGATACATTTTCCTTTTTCTGTTTTTCTTTAAGTTTGTTATTTATGTTTATCTTATGTGTATGAATGTTTTACATATGTCTGTATGCCGCACGTGTGCCTGGGGGCCAGAAGAGGAACTGATCCTCTGGAACCGGAGATGCACAGAACACTCGCCTTGTGACATTTCACTCACCTCTACATTACCATGTAGATCTTTTCTAATAAAGAATCTCATCACTACAAGTTTTCTGTTTGTTTCTCAGGAGGCCTTCTGCGGTCTTTAAAGGCCAGGCTGATACTGGGCCCTCGCATGTACTCAGTGGAGCCACTGAAGTGATTCAGTGAAGGTAAAGCCCAGGAAAGGTCTTAGAGAATGGGAGGCAAAGCAGCCACATCCTAGCGTGACCACTGACCTAGCGCCATGCCGAGGTATGTGCGCTGTGCCGAGTGGTAGGTGTGCGCTGCATTTAACCTTTCCCTGACAGTCCTAGCACTATCCCCATTTCACAATGGAGGATGCAGGTTCAGAGAGGTAAACTGACCTATTCAAGGTCACACAACCTATTAGTGACAGAGCTGAGAGCCAACCGTGGCAGTGGGGCAGCCGGTGCTATTAACCCCCTTGGCTTCTAGAGGTAAATAAAGGTACTAAAATCAGTAGCAAAGGTTGCTATCCCACCTCGGCCACGAGACTTGGCTCCTGGCTTCACAATCCAGATGTTTCGATCCCCCTCCATGTCGATCTGGGGTACCACAGCCCGAAGCTGCTGTAGAACGTCTTCACAGCGCTGGACCTGGGTCTCTAGGTGTCTCAGTTCTGCCCCTTCACTGTGTAGAGACAGTGGGACTTGGGGAGGTGGGGCCTGGGGCCAAATGAGAGCATAGGACAATCGGAGACCAGGCCCTGCTATGCTAACCTGCTTTGGTCATGCCTGCCCCAGACACCTAGATAGGTCTCCCCACTTCCCATTCCCAAATCACCAAAAGCCTCTAACCTATCCAGATTTCAGCCCTCCCCAATTCCAGTCTACCCTCTGACACCTACTTCCCTAAGATGGGGCACTCACTAAGTCAGGCACCCTGCCAGACACCCCCTTCCCGCCCCCAGCCCCCCAGCATCCCTCTAGGGAATTATTACTCAGCCAATCTTTGAGAAATGCAAATTGAAGGTGAGAGAGTTAAGGGACCTGCCTAAGGCTACACACCGGATGGAGTGGCTGAGCCAGGGTGCAGAAGCCTGACTGCCTCACCCAAGGGAGCTCTCGGAGTCCACCCCTCCTTATCTCCACATAACTCTGGTTGACAGGTATGCTCTCCTAGTCAAAGTCTGCGCGGGCCTGGCTGTATCCCACCTCACCAGGATTTGTTTCTCTTCCATCACACACTCTCCCATGCTACAGACTGATTTATTCAGTTACTGTCTGCCTCTCCCGCTGGCCTTTCTGGAATGTGGTGCAGGGGCTCGAACCCAGGGGCCAGTAGGCTGAGCACACACACTCCCCTCTTAGCTACAGGGGAGCCTGCAGGGCTGTCTTCTGCGGGGTTTGCTGCCTGCTGTATCTCACTCTAACAAAACCCCTGCCACTTAGCAGGCGGTCTGCAAGTCTGTGGACTGAATGGCTGACTGTGTGCATACTTGGGTGGGAGTTGACCTAGACAGTCGGGGTTCCTGGGAAAGGGGGGGAACCCTGTTCCCTCCATTATAATTCACACAGCTGCCCCAGATGGATGCAAGGCCACCCTGGTCCAAAAGAGAAACAGAGACAGACAGTGGTGACAGCTCACACCTTTAATCCCAGTACTTGGGAGTCACATGCCTTTAATCCCAGCACTAAGGAGGTGGAGACTGAAAGGGATATGGCTGGGTGGAGAGAGGACTATAAGGTGGGAGGAGACAGGAGCTGACTGCTTTCAGTCTGAGGATTCCTGGCAACAGGATCTTGTGCACTTTGGTCTGAGGATTCAATAGAGGTCAAAGGTCTCTCTAATGGCTGGCTCCTTTACTTCTCTGATCTTTCAACATTTACCCCTGATATCTGACTCAAGGATTTTATTATTTTAAATTAGAATTTGCACTCCAGGTGGCCAGATGGAGGGGCTTGAAGTTCTCTGAGGAACAGTCCCACTGGCTCCTGATGAGCTTCCCTGTGGTCTGTGTCATAGAGTGTCTGCCTAGTAAATCTGGGGTGAGGCCTAGAGAAAGTGTCACCTGGGAGTGGCAAGGGCACAGGGAATTTGAAAATGTCTGTTCAGTATGACTTTTATATTTAGGAGAAAAAAAAAACCTGTTTTGATGGAGGTCAACTTTTATAAAAGTCAGGCTGGTGAGGCATGGTCTTGTTTTCTGTTTTTATTATTTTAAATTATGTGTGTGTGCCTGCTACATGTGTGTATGTGTGCACACATGTGCACAGGTATTTGAGGACTCCAGAAACAATAGGTCCCTTAGAGCTGGAGTTACAGTTGGTTATGAGCTGCCTGACACGGGTGCTGGGAACCAAATCAGAACCTCTGACAGTTAGTACTGTTAACCACTGAGCCCCCAAATGGGCTCACTGTAAAAATGGTAAGTGCTGTGCCCTGCAGAGCTTTAGCTCTGAAGCCTGGCATAATGCTAGATACACAGGTGGTGCTCACCAAGGCTTGTGGCATTCTCCTGCCGCCATGCCAGAACCTGCACCCCTGTACCGCTTCCTGCCCTCTAGCACTCAAGAGCCTTTGCCCAAGGCGAGCTCCGAAAATGTCACCCCTGTTCTCCCCCTGACTCTCTTACATACCCCACAAGGTTCTGGATTCTACGTCAAGGAAACCTGTTAAACTCACTGTGTTTAACCCGACCTTTCCAAATGTGGCCGATCACTCAGCCCCTTTCCTGTGACCTCTGTTTCCTTCCTACGGTGATTAGCATCCTGGGTCACACTGACAGATGGCCTCTAGGATGAAATCTAAGTGCTCTAGATCCTGATTTTGAGGGGACACTCAAGCCTGTGCTGACCCCACAATACAAATTGTCTTATGTTGTTTAGAAAACCCAGTGATGTTCCTGGGGTCACAGAGCTTAGGAGATGGGAAGAAAGAACTAGAATTTAAGTCTATTGACAACCCAGGCTACCACCTTGAGTCCATGCTATGCTAAGGGGAGAAAAGTGGATCAGATTCTCCTGGAGCCATTGGGAGCCTCTGAGGGTCAGGAGTGTCCAGGATAAAAGAAAGTGGGGGGCTTGGGCTGTGCTCCCTGGGGTGGGTCTGACTGTAACCCCTGACCATGTGCCCACAGCCCTGCCTTCTAGGGCACTTACTGGACTATTTGGTAGTAGCGCTGGAGGAAATCGGACCACCGCTCAGGGCTGAAGTAGAGCGGGGCATCGGGGTCCTTGTCGATGTCCTTGTGGGCCATGCTGCTCAGGTGCTCCTCACACGCACTCAGCGCCTCGTCCACAAACTCTGACGACACTATCACTGCCTTTTTCTCCTGCTTCTTGGGCAGTGTGATTTCTGTAGGGATGGAAGGGACCGAAGCAGGTAGTGTGACACATGCCATCGTCCTTTGCTGACCTGAAACCTGTCACTTACCTGAGGCCTCGCCCTAAAGACACCTGAGGCCCAGAGTGAACTCGATCCCCAGCCACCCTAGGGCATGATACTCACCTGGAACTGCTCTAAATTCACCGGCAACCCTAGCATTTTGTCCCCGGCCACCACTGTCCCTGCATCTTACTCAACTAAGGCTCCAGCCCGAATGTCCCAAAGGTCTCTAGAGCATACCTACCCCAGCACCCACCACCCCTGGCACAACTTAGCCCTACAATGTACCTGGAAACCTTGCCTAGGTGAACCTAGATACACATGAAGCCAAATCTTACTTAGCTTCCTACATCCCATCTCTCAGAATCCTGATGGACATCCACAGCCCCTAAGCCACAGAGTGCTAATGTACATGCAAATGGAAGCACTCAGCTGGAAATGATATGCCAACCCCTGCACCAGAGGACTCAACCCTGGCTCAGTCCTTTGCCTACTTAAAAACTCGCGAGGGCTGGATAGATGGCTCAGTGGTTAAGAGCATTGCCTGCTCTTCCAATGGTACTGAGTTCAATTCCCAGCAACCACATGGTGGCTCACAACCATCTGTAATGAGGTCTGGTGCCCTCTTCTGGCCTGCAGGCATACACGCAGAAAGAAAGAATATTGTATACATAATAAATAATAAATAAATATTAAAAAAAACTCGCGACACACAACCGTTCCCTCAACTGCCCACCTGCAACATTGACCCACACTTGAGTTCAGTACACGGAAGTTTAAATACAGGGTCTCTGGGCACATACGGTTCCCTGTGGCCCAGATCCTGGCACATAACAGTCTTTTGGTACCGGATCCACCTAGGTCAAATGACAGCACTTGACGGCGTGTATGTAAGGATTGCTCCTGAAGGGCCAGGGACTTTTCTCCTTCCAGTAAAGCTGCCCCTTCCTTCCCAGAGTCCCTTGGCCATGCCTGGAGCCCCAGTATTGTAGAGGGGGAAGGGGAAGCAATATGTTGGACCAGCATGCAGAGTGTTTCTCTGTCCCCTCCCTTCCCAGGTGTTCCTTAGTGTAGGAACAGGGTTTCTTGGGGGATATCTGTACATAGCTGAGTTCTTCTGTGCCTTCCCAGAGAACTTGAAGTGGCTATCACAGGCAGGGATGAGCCATGTGGTCTCAGCCTGCCCTCTAAAGTGGTCAGTCAGGCCTATCCAAGGGCTGAACAATTGACAATTAACAGGTAGACAGATAAGGGGTAGATGCAGGATAAGGCGGTAAGCAAAGGATAGACAGGTGGGTGGGGAGACAAGAAGATGGGCTGTGCAAGGGCAGGAAGGGAGGGGACAGACGGGTACCACACAGAAATGATGGCAGTGGTAGGTGACTGAAGTGATCAGCAAGAGATGGCCGGGTGGGGAGATGATGGAGAGAAAGAGCAGACGGTGGCTGGGTGAGCAGGAGTGAGCAATAGTCACAGACGGGAAGATGGAGGGGAAGGCTGGTGGCAAAGGCTGCAGTCTGGCCGTGCGACTTAAAAGTGCGGATGGACAGATGAGTGGATGGTTGGCATACAGCAGTGGGAGCAGAGGCAAGCACAGCACTCACCTAGGGCCTCTTCCTTTCTTGTCTGCATGGAGGAGTATGGCTTCTCTTCCGACTTCACCACCAGCTTGAGAACGTTGCGGGCAGCTGTCAGCCAGAAGTCCTCTGCTCCCAGGCAGGGATACCCTGCTCAGCCCCCAGGCTCCAGGCCTCTCCTGGTTCTGGAACCTCACCATGGCTTGCCCCATTTTGGATCCAGAACCTCATTTACCTGTCTCTCTCTAGCACCTGGCTCCTAGCCCAGTTATAGAATATCACACCCATAGTGTGATAGACTCGACACAGACTGTTTCCAGATAGCCTGTACCTGTTTCATTTCTCTCTCTCTCCTCTCTCTCTCTCTCTCTCTCTCTCTCTCGCTCTCTTTTGTGAGACAGGGTCTTGCAGCTTCAAGATGACCAGCTTGGAATTCACTATATAGACAAGGGTGGTCTCAAATTTGTTGCAATCCTGCCTCTGCTTCCCTACACTGGGGATTACGGGTTTGACCCACCTCCCATGGCCCTCTTTGTCCATTTTGATACTTAACTCTAACCTGAGAACCACACTGCAGCCTAAATCCTATCTAAGGTTTAGAATATAATTTAAAAGCTGCCATCTGCTCTGGGTCCAAATTCCAAACTCAGAACCTATATTGGAGCTGGAGCCTACTTTGCTTTCAAGACTCACAGCCTTTTCTGGAACCTGGTCCAGCCTGCAACTTATCTGGATTCCAAATAGAACCAACCCACCGACCTCTAGAACCTGCCCTAGAATAAAAGCCTGGCTCCCTGGGCTTCTCTGTCTGTACCAGGGTTGGCCAAGCTAGAGGCTCAGGAATGGAAGAACCATTAGTGGGAGGGAGGGACTGGAGCTACAGAGGAAAGAGGGGACCTATTGTTTTCCACTGTGGGGCAGGCAACAGGAGGGGGCCAGGCCTGGGCTGGAGTCCTCTTACCTATAAAGGCTTTCTTGTCATCTTCCGCCCCCAGGCGATAGCATCGTGGGAAGAAGGAGTCAGCATCAGCCTCATCGAACCATGGCAGATTCCGGAGGTTGAGACACAGGCCCACCTATGGAGACAGCTGCTGAAAGGGCTGTGGAGGACACAGAGAGTGTTGAGGGGCTCCCCCACATACAGCATATGTCCAGAGGCTCAGGAAGACCCACTTGCTAGACCTGACTTGATATCCATCCATTTCCAGGTTTGCCCAGCTGAGAAGGCCTCCACCCACCCTTTCCCATCCATAAAAGCATATTCCACCCAGGAAGCCTTGACAGTTCACACCATAGTGTGAATGATGTCATAGCCCAGTGGTTCTCAACCTTCCTAATGATGTGACCCTTTAATACAGTCCCTCACGTATGGTAAGTGCCCCCAACCATGAAATTTATTTTGTTGCTACTTCCTAACTGTAATTTTGATACTGATATGAATCATAATGTAAATATCTGATATGCAGGTTACCTGATATGGGACCTCCCAAAGAGGCCATGCCCCACAGGTTGAGAACCACTGGCATAACAGACGCTGGTAAACCCCTTATCCTTTACACAGCCTTAGATAACAGGCATGCTGGTATTCTCCTCTAAATATGAGCAAGCGGGCCAGGCGGTGGTGGCACACGCCTTTAATCCCAGCATTTGGGAGGTAGAGGCAGGTGCATCTCTATGAGTTCGAGGCCAGCCTGGTCTGCAAAGTGAATTCCAGGACAGGCTCCAAAGCTACACAGAGAAACCCTGTCTCGAAAAACAAAAACAAAACAAACAAACAAACAAAAAATGAGTAGGTGGAGGCTGGGAGAGGTGAAGCCACTTGCTAAGAAACCCAGTAACAGACATGCTCTATTCAGGCCAGGGCCCCTTTGTTTACAAACATTGATTTGGTGTTTTTGTTTTCAGACTTCATGGGAATTGAGCCCATAATCGTCATGCCAACATATGTCAGATATAGTTCGGGGACTACATGAGAACCCAAGAACATCTTGTGTTCTTTGCAGAAGCGGGGCTGCCAGCCCACAGGCCAGGGTTGGAGTCCCTGGGATGCCTACCTTCGTAGTGAAGGAGCCGGCACGGGCATAATGGTTTATCATCTGATCCTTGGATAGGAAGCGACAGTCCAGCACATCTCGCCGAGTGGTCCAGATGAGGTAAGGGGTCTCATTCCGAACCATGCGGGACTGGAGGAAAGGGGAGGAGATGGAGACAGGGAGGCCGGTGAGGACAGCTTCTCCCTGCCCTACCACACAGAAAGGAGAAGAGGTGTCAAGGTGTCCTCTGGACTCCCCCAGCTCTGAATAGATAAGGCGTGAGAAGGCATCTTCTCCAGAGGATATACGGGGTGAGCAGACAGCAGGCTCTTTCCGGCCTCCACTTGTGTTCCAAGGCAATGACTAAGCTGCACACTACGATGCCATACCTTGCTCTGCGACCATCAGTGATTGTCCTAGTAGAAGGACCGTGACTCCGATCAATGCGCACAAAGCATGGACAGGGGCCCTCCATGGACCCGACCTTTCTATTCTCCCTACAACTCTGGGACACAGGATGCTCACCAGCCAGCAGCACGGTAACCGGCTCTGGTCTTTATTTTTAGAGACAGGCTCCTGCTATACAGTCCACGAAAGCCTCAAACTCGCCAGGTAGCCCAGGCTACCTTCTAACTCATGGTCTTCCTGCTTCAGCCTCCCGCTTGCTCGATTACAGATGTGCACCACCCTGCCCGGCTTCAAACTGCCCCCTCTGTGTATTGAGAAATTGCTACCTCTCTGTTTTTCAGGTCAGATGTAGTGGCACACACCCAGCACTCCAAAGGCTGAGGCAGCTGGATAGACTCTGGATCTCTGAGTTCAAAGCCAGCCTGGTCTACATATGGACACCCAGGGTTACATAGAGAAACCTTGTCTTGCAGGGAAAAGATCAAGTAAGAGAAAAGGCTTCATGTTGACAATTTTGTGTTGTTTTTTGATGAGCTAGTCTCTGTGGCCATGTTTGTGGGGGTCTGTCAGTCTGTGCCTCTCTCTGTAGAATGCACTGCCTTTACCTTTAACCCTACTTAGAGGGCTTCACTGAGGACTGAACGAGCTGACACAGAAGATGCTTAGGACAACGTGCAAAATGGTTGTGGTGGTCCTTGCCTCGTTTTGTTGTTTTGTTTTTTTCTAGACAGGGTTTCTCTGTGTAGCTCTGGCTGTCCTAGAATGCTGTACTAAACCAGGCTGGCCTTGAACTCAGAGACCCACCCGCCTGCCTCTGTCTCCTGAGTGCTAGGATTAAAGGTGTACACCACCACCACCTGGACAAGAGGAAAAAAATTAATTTATTTTTATGTGCATTGGTGTGAAGGTGTCAGATCCCCTGAAATTGTTGTTACAGTTGTGAGCTGCCATATGGGTGATAGGAATTGAACCCGGATCCTCTGGAAGAACAGCCAATGTTCTTAACTGCTGAGCCATCTCTCCAGCCCCCCAGGAAGAGAATCTTAGTGAGGGATCGTTTAGATAGGGTTGGTCGGTGGGAGGACCCAGATCACCATGGTGATGCTGTTCCTCGGGCTTGGGTCCTGGACTGGATATGAGGAGAAGAGGTGAGGCTGAGTGGAGAGCAAAGCCTGCCTTCATTTCTCTGCTCCTGAACTACCTGTTCAAGGTCTTCACCTTGACTTCTCTGCAATGACTGACTGTAACCTAGAACCAGAAGTTAAACTTTCCATGCCAAGTTGCTTTTTGTCAGAGTATTTCATTATAGAAACAGAAATGAGATTCTTGAAGGCATCCAGAAGACTTGGCACGTGATGGTGCCTGAGTGGGTCCCGAGGGAATCAACTTCAGAAAGTTGTCCTCTGACCTTCATGTGCGTGTGCAGCTCCACACCCACATACTTGCATGTCATACACAAAGAAAAACATGTCGATTTCATACAGTTCACTTGGCTCTGACCTCATACCCTCTCTTCACCACACATGCCCTCCACAGCAGCACCTCTCAAATTTTGGTGTGCATGTATGTGGGAATGTGTGTTCTGTGTGTGCCCATGTGGAGGCCAGAGTACAATCTTGGGGTCCCAGCGGGAGCCATCCATCTTGTTATATATTTTTTAAGGAGGTAATTGGGTTTTTTTGTTTGTTGGTTTGCTTGGTCTTTTATGTTTGTTTGGTCTATTTTATTTTATTTTATTTTATTTTATTTTGAGACAGGGTTTCTCTGTGTAGCCCTGGCTACCCTGGAACCCACTCTGTGGAGCAGTCTGACCTTGAACTCACTGACAACATCTGCTTGTCTCTGCCTCCCAAGTGTTGGGATTAAAGGCATCGCCACCACTGTCCAGCTGACATACCTGGGTTCTGGGGCTTGAACTCGGGTCCTAACTTTATTATTAAAGAATGCATTGCCTTTGCTTGTCTCTTAACTTTTAAAGCCATTTCTTATAACCCTCATTTGCCAAGGGCAAAGGAAAGAGATGCGCAAAGTACTTGGCAGGGAGAGCCATCAAAGCCACCACGAGTAGAAGATGTGGTCACCCTATCAGTCCTACTAAGTTCCTCACTATTCTGCAGATCTAGCCAGTCTTTAGAGAAGCAATCTAGTTTTCCAGAGAAGGAAGGACATCCAACTGCTAGCCCCCCACTTTTTGGCCCCCAGAGTCCTCACCATTAAAGCATGTACCCCATCCAGATCATCGAATTCCAGAATACCATCCAAGTCCAACAGCTGTGGCTCCCGAAAGTCCTCGTTCTCTTCTTCATCCTCTGTGGATGTGGAGGATGACCCCTTGGGACTGTGTCTATGCCCCACAGTCATTTAAGGTCTCAACCCTGGACCAGTGGGAAGCAAATGGAAAAGAACTCAAGAAGGACAGCGTGTGCACAGGGAGGGACCAACTCACCATCCTCCATGGCATCACTATCACCCATCAATGAACTGTCTAGATCCTTCTGGGGTGGTGGCAGGATGGTGCCTTGGGGATGGACCATCTTTTTTTCTACCCATCCCCTCTGGCGCAATAGACACCGGATCACTGGGTATCGGCCATGAATCATAAAGATTTTCTTCTGCTGTAAGATGAGAGGCGGGGACTTGCTTCAGCATCGGACATATAGGAGGCAAAGGTGACTAGACAGGATCTCTGCCTTCAGGGAATTTTTATTCCCCAGTAGGAGGCAGCTCATAAACAAGAAGAAAAATAAATATAAATAGTTAATAGCTACTAAGTACCTATTATGTAGTAAGCACTTACATGCACCACTAAGAACAATTTGCATTTTAATTACATATTGAAGGCACACAGAGGCTAAACAGTTTCTCCAAAATTACACGGTAGTTAAGTGACAGAGCAAGGATTTCTTCCTTTTTGTTTGGTGCTGGGGATTAGGCCCAGCGCCTTCTGCACGCTAAGTGCATGTTTTATCCCTGGTATTCCCCGTCTCAAGAGTAATGCATGGTCACGGTCACAGCAAACTGGGAAAGAGCCATGAATGCAGAGCTGAGCGAATGACAGAGCAGAGTGTGGTAGCATGTGCACAGATCCAGAGGCTAGCGAGAAGTCAGAAGGAACTGAGAGGCCACGGAGAGTGAAATCTGATAAATAGAGTTCCCAAGAATACTGGAGTATGACTGGACTGTGTAGGGCCCCGTGAACCTTAAAATTTAGCCTTGCATTTTATAAGGAGACGAATGAGTCAAGAGCATAACTAAGGAAGTCTCTGTAAGTTTGCATGCAACTGCATGGAGCATCAATGGGGGAGGGGACAGGTATAGAGGCAGATCCTCAGGAGGATACCGTGGTCTGAACAACTGCAATAGTCAGAATGAGGGTGGTAACGTGGAGACTGGGAAGGAGCTGCTTCCCATTCTGGAGGTGTGGATGGATGGATGGAACTGGAAGAATGGATTTCTGATTTCTGACGCAAGTGATGGAGAAAGCTGGATACCGGGTTTGGAGGGGGCGCCGACAGGTTTGGACAGTGGAACAGGAGTAAGGTTTGGGATGCAAGCGTGAGATGCTGGTGAGCTCTTTGGAGACATCCATCAGAGGGCTGGATCTCCAGGGTGGGGGTCGGAGGCAGGAAAAGTGTGGGATAGGGCACGGTGTGATCCTGGACTCCTAAACTGCACGGTGTGATCCTGGACTCCTAAACTCAAGGAAAGAGGTGCATGGAGTCAGATCGGACCCAGGGCCCAAGGAATCACAGACATCTGGGAAGTCTTCAGAGGCAGAGGCCAGGGAACAAGCAGGGAACCAGGAGTGTGGAGCCAGCCAGCCATTTAGCCTAGGGTGGCATGCACAAGCCGTTTGCAATACACTGTCCCCCAGCAGGAGAAAGGCGGTTAAGGACTTGGCTCCTTGCTGGGCACCAAGGCCCTAAATGAGAGTAATTTCTAAATTACTAAAGGGCTAGAAGGGCTGGGGATCAGGACCGAGTGAGCTGAAGAATATATCCCTAGGTAGATAAATCAGCCAAGACTATGGGCCTGATGCGTGCGTGCGTGTGTGTGCTTGTATTAAATCTTTCTTTGACATTTATGGATTTATTTAAGGATATAAGAAACTAGTAAGTGTAACCACCACCACCCCATCCCCTCCAACCTTGACGGCTCTCTCTACGTGGATTTTGGCGTTTCTGAGTCGGCCCATGTGGTGAGGTCCCTTGGAGAATCCTCGCCAGAGGACAAGGGAATCTGCAGAGAGATGCGGAGCAGGAACACAGAAAGCTGGGGGTTGGGCCCAGGGACTTCTCTGACCTCAGGTGCCTGCGCTCCCTTGCCCCTACCCTGCATCCAGACGCCCAATCTCCAATGCTCTCCAGATTCCCCATTCCTTCCACCCTGGCGACCTTTCTCTTGCAGTCACCAGGGTCTCAGGGCTGGCTGCCTGCGCTGTGCCTCACCATCAGGTGGCGGCGGGGCAGTAGGCAGGGGCTCATCCAGGGTCGGGGGGAGCAGGGAGCAGACCGGGTGGGAGCTCGCAGTGTCCTGGGCACCCGGCGCAAACGACTTGTGGGCGTGGGCGCTGCTTAGGTGGCGCACAGGAAATGGGCTGTAATCCCCACGGCAACGTGTCCCCTCGGGCCTGGCGGAGGCGGGCCCGGGCCATTGCAGCCTCCCAGGCGGGTGGAACTGGGAGCTGCCTGCCCAGGGCAACCGGGAAGGGGAATTGGTGTTGAGCTCGGGCGGCTGCGTCCTCCGGTGCCAGCTGCACTCCGAGCTGCCTTCTTGGCGGTAACAGGCAGCCGCAGGCCTCAGTTGCCCTGCGCTTAGGAGAAGCGCGGCGCTGAGGCCCTGCATGCGCCTGTCGCCAGCTCCCAGCACCCCAGTGCCTTCGCCCAGGCTCCCTCTCAAGCCCCGCCCTCTGTTTCCCGTCTCCTAGGAGACCGTTGCCTAGGCACAATCAGACTCTGGTAGAGAGCTGGAGAGCGGTAATGGTTTCGTGGTTTTGGCTCTGCCCTCATTTGCTAGGCACTGAGGATGGAAGAACCAAGCACTGGGGCGATTATTAGAGTTCTTTATTATTATTATTAATATTAATTTTGGTTTTTCGAGACAGGGTTTCTCTGTAGCTTTGGAGCCTATCCTGGAACTCCCTTTGTAGACCAGGCTGGCCTCGAACTCACAGAGATCCGCCTGCCTCTGCCTCCCAGTGCTGGGATTAAAGGCGTGCGCCACCAACACCCGGCTATTATTATTATTTTTTGTGTGTGCGCTGGCCTACACACACATTAAAGCTCTGGGATAAGGGCTGCCAACTGGTCCCTGATCTCATGGAGCTTACAGTGTATGGAAATCCAAAAGTTAGCAAAAGAAAAAGGTGCTGGTTTAAGGGCATGGAAAAAGCAGTGAGCTGAAACTGGGAAGGGGCCTCTTGAAGGTAAGGCAGTCCACTCAGGTGACCAGTGAAACAAACAGCACACATGCAAAGAAAGGAGCCAGGAGCCACCAAGGGAAGAGATGAAACCACAGCCTAGCAGTGGGAAGTCCCAGCAACTGTCCTGTGAACCTTTGAGAGGGCCGGTGAATTAAAGGCCGAGGTGAGGTTAGATCAGTCCTGTCGGGTCTAGGTGGAGATGGCAGGTCATCTTTGGGTTGCATAAGGGGTGGCGATATAAGGTTCAGAGCACACACTGCCTCTTCCACTAACTTGAAAAAGTCAAATCATTTTTATCAACTGAAGAAAAGTAAAGACACTGGGCGGTGGTGGCATACACCTTTAATCCCAGCACTTGGAAGGCAGAGAGGCAGGCGGATCTCTGCGATCCTGAGTTCAGCCTGGTCTATAGAGTGAGTTCCAGGACCAGAAAAGCCTGTCTTGAAAAACCAAGAAAAGAAAGAAAGAAAGAAAGAAAGAGAGAGAGAGAGAGAGAGAGAGAGAGAGAGAGAGAGAGAGAGAGAGAAAGACAGAGTACTTCATTCTGGCCAAATCACAACTCAGAAAATAAGACTCCAAAACAGTACATAATTTGTCTCAATCAAACAGCATAGCTAAACCTAGTACTAGCTGGGTGGTGGTGGCGCACGCCTTTAATTCCAACACTTGGGAAGCAGACACAGGTGGGTCTCTGTGAGTTACGAGGCCAGCCTGGTCTACAAGAGCTAGTTTCAGGACAGACTTCAAAGCTACAGAGAAACCCTGTCTTGGGAAAAACAACAGCAACAAAAATAAACCTAGTACAAAGGTCTGATTCCAACACCTTTTTGAGGTCTCAAGTACCTCGGCAGACTTTCAACAACTGGACCACCAGCACACCTGGTGCTGGAACTCAAGGCTTCATGTATGACAGACAAAGCAGTCTAGCAGCCACTTGGGCTTCCTGTGAGGGTTAGAAGTACCAAATGGAGTTGGAGAAGCTGGCTCTAGCGTGTCTACTCAAGCAGTCCAAGAACCCAGCTGTCAGTCACCAGCAAATCTGCCTTTGCAGTGAAGGTCCCCCAGCTACCTGTCCAGCCAACCCTCCCCCCACCCAACATGGCTGGGAACTGGTCTTCCAGAAGAGAGGGAGGGCTAGCTGGTTGGCAGCAATCTAGTCTGCTCTCAGCTTGTAAATCTGGTTTTCAGGACTTTGTACCTTGGGAGAGAATCTACAACGTAAGCAGTTTTGGCTGGCTCACCGGAGCAAGGATGTTCAAGGGTTGGGTGACCAGCTTCCATTTCCTCCTGATCACCGGGTTTCACCAGGAGTACCTTTAACAGTCACTGCAAAGTTACAATAAAGCCATGGACCACAGAGGGCCCAACTAATTCAATAAGGCAGGAGGTCACAGAGGGAGTGTCACAAAGGGACAGCAGCCAGCCAGTCAAGTTGCCCCCACCCCTCCTTTCTTTAACACTTGTTCTTTTCAAAAGACCCCCTTTTGGGGGCTGGTGATAGGTTTGCATACTGTGCTCAATCCCAGCACTGAGAAATAATTCCCTCCAAACCTCAACAAAAACTGCTTTGGCCACCCAGAAAGCCCAGCTCTCTCTCACACACATTTTTAGTTCATTTGAGAAAATTATCTTCCTGTAATTCAAGGATGGCCTAGAACTCACAGAAGTCCTGCCTCCAATCTCCCCCAAGTGTTGTTATTACTAGTGTGAGTCAACAGACCTGGCGCAAAGCCAACTGTTCTTGAAGCCTCCCCTGATACTCTTCTGCGAGCACACTTACCCTTCCTCCACTCCAATCATGACCACTCTTCAATGCCTATTTACAGACCTCACCCTTTCTGGACCTGAGCTGTATCAGAGTATGACTGAGTGTCAGGATTGAAGTACAGCAAAGAGAGGGATAAACAGAGGGATCAACCACTGCTCACCCAGCACCTGTGTGGCAGGGGCAGTGCTATATAGCTCCCATTGTCTCTACATATTAGGAGACAGCGAGAGGACTGCTTACTTCAGGAGCCAGCAAGAAGTCATAGGCACTATCTGATGAACTTCCTGAGTAACCTACAACTGTCCAACACCTGTTAAGTCACTAGTGGGACTCAGACTTTGGGATGGTGTGGAGAGTGATTCCAATAGCACAGGCAGAAGTCTCCCTCGAGCTCACAGGATGTGAGATCTGGAGCAAGCGATTTTGGAATGTGGCACCTGTAATCCTTATCCACAAAGTGGGATCCTGGTTTTTGAGGATACCTGAAGACAGAATAGAAGCATGATGTGGAAAACACTGCTGTCTCTGTTCAGGCAGAGACCACCTTCTGAAGAACGGTGACTGACTGCAGTGAAGTTCTCTGGTCTCCCAATGACAAAATTGTCTGGTGGACTGCTCTAGACCCAAGCGCCAGTCATACACGACTCCAAGGAATAAAAACCCCTGTCCTTCCACACATACACAGAGCACAGACCTCATGCAACCCCAAAGGGGCAGGAAGAAACTTTAATTAGGGGAAGGGAGGATTCATCAGAATCAGAGACAGCGAGCGTGGGAGCAGAGGAGCCGGAGCAGGCGAGGCCCAGCTGGGCACTCAAGGACTCACCTCTGCACCTCCAGCACAGGCACTGTACCCAGACAGGCAAGCCTTGGGGCCTCTCAGCTGGGGAGGTGTTTGGGGGGGAACTCCAGGTAGCCCCTGCAGCCAGAAGTTGCCTGGCTTTTGGACCCCAGCTGCTAGGTCTGCCTGGCAATCATGGATTCAGCCCTTGCTCCCAACCAGTACGGTGGCCATCTTCAGGCAGAACTCAGGCTAGTAAGGAGTCCTTACCACCTCTACTGGGCCCAACGAGGCTTGTGAGTACGACAGCAAGGAAGAGAGACTGGAGTCTGAAACCTCCCTCTCTCCCCACCTAGGGTAGCACAGGAAAAATAGTCGCCTTCTGGCTCCAGGCCCGCCCAGACCACAGCGACCAATAAGGTACAATCACTGGGGCCAGTCACAGCCACTGGAGGTGGAGGTTGTTGGTTTAAAAAAAAAAAAAAAAAAAAAGACAAAAAGGTTACAGTCTTCTACAAGCACAGAGTTTAGGTTTCAAGACATTTTAAAAAAAAGTCTGTCCCAGCCCAGGGGACTGAACATCAGAAGCTAGCCTGACCAGACACGCATGGGCTCAGGGCAGGTCCACTGCTGCCTTTTTTGCACAGCCAGCAAGCACACCACACCCGCCTCCCGCATCCGATGCCCACCCAACCCAGCTTCCTGCTGCTGCTGCACCGCTGCTCCGGGGTTGACTCCAGGACACCGTCGCAGATGCGCAGAGACACAGGGAAGGCTAAGGGGGAAGGCCACGAGATCCAGCCAGATGATTTAAAACTGTTGAAGAGAAAAACAGGCAATGAATGGGGGTTATTATATCCTGCCTGATGAGCCTGTTCCAGGTGAGCCAGCTCTGAGCTGCTCTTGTTCAGGTCTCTGAGTACAGGATCAGCTTTTGGCACTTCAAGAGCATACTCTCTGTGAACCTCCATGTGGGCACTAGGAACCAAACCCAGTCCTCGGAAAGAGCGACAAGTGCTTTTTACCACCAAGTCATCTCTACAGCTCCATGAGCGTGCTCTTAATCTGGCTGAACTCCGGCAGTGATCTGAAGGCACTAGCCTAGAACACAGGTTTTAAGTGCTAAGGGCTTCCCCACAGCTTGTTTGGTAACTGAAGCAGCTTTAGACATGGGACCCACATGTGAAGGGCTGGACGACTCTGAGCCAAGGAGAGAGGGACAAGGTCTAGTACTTTATGTTAAACTTTGAGTGACTGTCAAATGACAACAGGGCTGAGCAGAGCTTTCTGCTCCCTGTGGTAGCACATTCACAATCCTAGCCTTTAGGAAAAAGAGGCACAAGGATCAGGTCAAGGCCATAGTCAACAGCAAGTGAATTCAGGGGCAGCCTGAGCTGTTTCCCTGCCTCCCTCCTAGAAAGACAGGGAGAGCCAGGTGGTGGCGGCACACCTTTTTAATCCCAGAGACAGGAGGATCTCTGTGAGTTTGAGGCCAGTCTGGTCTACAGAGTGAGTTCCAGGACAGGTTCCAAAGCTACACAGAGAAACCCTGTCTCAACAAACAAACAAACAAACAAAAGACAAAAAACAAAAAGACCGGGAGGAAAGGGAAGGAAGAGAAAAGGAGGGAAGGGTAGACAGAAGGAAGGGAAAGGAAGAAATGCTTTCTGCCTTCAGGTATCGCCATGGTTCCCAGAACAACCCTGGACACTGCAATGACTGAGCACAGCCCAAGACCGGGCCGTATGATGCTCAAAGCTATGAATTAGTTGCCAACTGTGAAGGTAACAGATGCCACTACCAAATTCAAATTTGGGGATTTGTTTAAACAATTTGTTCTGGCCTGGCTGTGTAGGCTTGCAATCCCAGCTACTACAGCGGCTGAGGTAGAGTGACTGCAAATCTGAGGACTCTTGGGACTAAAAGTAAAAAGCAGGCTGGGCCATGGCTCAAGCAGCACGAGCCAAGCCCTTGGCTTGGCTCAACTCTAAGCTCCAGAAGCAAAAACTAGGACAAGGAGGCAGCAATGGGCTGCAGCTGCCTGGTGGCATCTGTTTTCAGAGGTAAGTGCTACCAGGTCCCACTCAGCCAGGGGGTGGCGGCACACGCCTTTAATCCCAGCAGTTGGGAGTCAGAGACAGGCGGATCTCTGTGAGTTAGGCCAGCCTGGTCTACAAGAGCTAGTTCCAGGACAGGCTCCAAAACCACAGAGAAACCCTGTCTCGAAAAAAACCAAACCAAAAAAAAAAAAAAAAAAAAAAAAGCCCACTCTACATTCCTCTGCTTTCAGTTATTAGACACGGGGCACTTCAAGAGCCTCACCTTACTCTCAGCAAAATGCTAACATATTGCCTCAAAGGCTTTTTTCAGTAGGTTTTATTTAATTGCGTATGAGTCTTTCTCCTGCAGGTATGTTTGTACTGTTTGTGTGCCCGATGCCCAGAAATCTGAAGAGGATTTTAGATCCCCTGAAAGTGAAGTTACAGATGGTTCTAAGTCATCACACTGGTGCTGAAAACCTTACCTGGTCCTCTGGAAAGAGCAGCAAATGTTCTTAACTGCTGAGCAAACCCCCCACCTTTCAGACTGTTTGTATGTTTTTCTTTTTTAAAAATAGAACAAAAGTAAACAAAACAAAACACAAACAAATAAACAAACAGAAAATGTGAGAAACTAGGGGAGGTGACTTTCTGGGTATGCATGGAAATCTAAGTTTATTCTCCAGCACCACCCATGGAAAAAGGGGTGTGTGCCTATAATCCCAGTGCTGGGGACCGTGTGTGTGTGTGGGGGGGGGATGCAGACAAGCCAATCCTGGGGATTCACTGGCCAGTGAATTCACAGCCAGTCTGCTGAAATGGCAGACTCCAAGTTGAATGAGAGACCAAAAACAAGGTGAAAGGCAAAAGAGAAGACAACCAATGCTGATGTCTGGGTGGCCCTTGCAGACATGTCCATGCACAAATACATTTCTACATTTCTAAAACCAATGGGCTGAAGAAACAGCACTATGGTTAAGAAGACTTGCAGCTCTTCCAGAGGACCTGAGTTCAATCCCCAGCACTCATGTTGGGTGGCTTGCAACTGCCTGTAACTCTAGTTCCTGGGTAGCCAACTTGGTCATCTGGCCTCCTTAGGTACCTGCACTCGTGCATATGTACACACACATACACTTCAAAATAATAATAATAATAAAAAAAAACTAAAAAAAAAACCCAACAGGCCGGGCGGTGGTGGCAAACGCCTTTAACTTTAATCCCAGCACTTGGGAGGCAGAGGTAGGCGGATCTCTCTGAGTTCGAGGCCAGCCTGGTCTACAAGAGCTAGTGCCAGGACAGGCACCAAAAACTACAGAAAAACCTGTCTCAAAAAAAAAAAAAAAACAAAAAAACCCAACAACAAAAAACAAAAGAACATAAATTTATTACACATTCTGGGGTCAGGGTTTTCACTGAGGGACCCTGTTAGGCCAGGGTTTGCTTTTCAGCATTTTGTCTCTCACTGGTCTTATATTTATTCCGTATTTATGCTCTACTCCATGGGGCTGGTATACAGCAAGTTCAGGGACAGGATACTCTGGGAGGACACCATTTGTCCCCCACCCCCCCCCTTTTTTTTTTTTTTTGTTTTTTCGAGACAGGGTTTCTCTGTGGTTTTGGAGCCGGTCCTGGAACTAGCTCTTGTAGACCAGGCTGGTCTCGAACTCACAGAGATCCGCCTGCCTCTGCCTCCCGAGTGCTGGGATTACAGGCGTGCGCCACCACCGCCCGGCTGTCCCCTCTTTCACACACAAACAGACACACTGGTCTTCAGTCCTGTGAGTCTCACACCTGGCTCCACCCTTAGCCCCTGCATCCATTTCAGGTGTTTTTTGTCCACTCCCTCACAGCTGGTCTGGCAGGGAATGGTACAGCCTGGAAACAACACCATTAAACCCAGGATGAGCCCCTGGGTTTGTTGTCCCAAGTTCTGAGCCCCTCTCAGTCAGAAGTACAGAGCTGGTTACCGCTCCCATTCCACTCTGGATTCAGCTGAAAGAGATTGTCCCAGTACAGTCCCTACCCCTGTCCTTTAGTCTGCCCACCTGTGAAGCTCAGAAACACAACTGGGAAGTTCTTACACATTTACTTAACATATGTATAAGGTCCTAATACCGCTGACTTGTCAGACCTCTGCCAAACTCCCAGTTTAAAGGGAAGTAAGCAAACATCGGAACAATGAAACAAACCAGAACCCCACACATCTACTACCCGCTCCAGGCATGGGAGGGGCAGGCCCTATTTTGAGTGGTACAAGAGTATGTTGTTTAAACTTTACTGTCTACATAAAAATTTAAGTGCAGCTAGGTATTGGTGAAACACATCTTTAATCCCAGCACTCAGAAGGCAGAAGCAGGCAGATCTCTGTGAGTCCAGACTGATCTACATGGCAAGTTCCAGGCCTGTCAAGCCTACATAGTGAGACCAGGCATCAAAAACAAAAGACAACAAATATGAAGTATGAGGGGCTTAGAGAGATGAAATCACTGGCCTCTCTGGAGAACCTGAGGTCCAGTGCCTGCACCCACAGCAGCCAGCTCCTAAAGCCCCAGGTGACTGCACACCCTGCTCTGGAATCTGTGGGCACAATCATCTCCACACACCTCTCCCCCCACTCTCACGTGATCTCACTAATGCTCGGCCTCCCTGAGAGGTGCACACTAACAGCAGCACCCATCACTGCTGCAGAAACCAAGGCTCCTCGAGCAGTTCAGTGATGTGCCTGCGGGAGGCAGGAGGCAGGCCCACACACTGGGTCTGATTTGGAGTATAATAAACAACACAGCCTTGCGCTGGCCACCCACAGGATAATTAAACCCCAGGGGACATGGGTATCATCTCCATTTTTAGGATTCTGAACTCCTCAGGGCCGGGTCTGTTTGCATTAGTAAGGAGAAAACATGAACTCTACCAAGGAGGGATCAACAGCTCTGAGAGGAATGTATCAACAAACCAGAGACTGGAAGGCAGCGGCCATCCTGAATCTCTAGACATAGCTGTGCTGCCGGCTCCTCATGTAAACAACTCCTCCCAGAGCACTGCAGTCCTGCAGCTGATCGGCACAAGTCGTGAGTAATGGGAAACATGTTGAAGAAACCATAGCAGTAAGCCTGAGAAACAGACACTGAAGAAAATATTTATGTCTGTTTGGGAAGTGGACTGATGATTAACTCTCAGAGGACTCACAAGGTATTCTATCTTCCTCACTCGGGTTTGAACTAGGACAGGTCGAGACTAGGCAGAACTGGGAAATACAGAATTCATGCCTACAATTCCACCAAGACTCGCAGAAATAAAAACAACAACAAAACAACCTGGGGCTCAAGGATGAACTCTGGCCTCACTCAGGACTATCTTGTCAATGCCACATTCCCAGAACCCATAGTTTCTTCCACCTCTGCTACGGAGTGGCAAGGCCCTACTCACATTCTTGAGGAACTCCTCGGCCACAATGCGGGCCCTGGCATTGACTGACAGCTTCATCTCACTGATCTCCTTGTCAATCTCCTCCATGAAGTGGATTACAAAGTCCACCAATTTGTGTTTGTACATCTGCTCCGTGTGGAAGTTGGTGATGAGAAAGCTGATGTCATACCCCTGGGGAGAGAAGCCAGCAGGGAGGGGCAGAAGAAAGGAGACAAAGTTAGCCCCCAGGGACACTTGGTTGTCACATCTTCTCCACTCTCACACAAAGCTTCCAACGGCTACCATCTTCTCCCAGGTTATATACTCGTCCTTCAGTCAGCAACCCACTTGCTTGGGGAGGGGGCATATGGGTGAGTTCACATTTTGTGTGTCTGTCGGACCCAAGCAACTGAACCTGGTTCAAAATTGTGTGCCAGGTCGGATGTCCCTGAAAGTCTGTGGCATAAACAGCCCTGTGTTCAAAATGAGCACAGGGAATAAAGGGACCACCTATCTTATTTCAAAGAATCCAGTCCAATAGTAAAAAATACAGGAGAACTGACCCGGCCGAGGACGGAACTGGAGCTGTTTGCTACAGGAGAATGTGTGAGAGTGAGCTCATTTACTCTAGTGGCCCCAGAGGTTAGAGCGAGGACAGAGAGAGAACGTGGCCCAAGGTGAAGAACCATTTGGTATGCTGGATGATGGTCTTTACTGTTCTAACATGGTGGCTGCTAGGTTGGTCACCAGGGAGACTTGGCAGGGGGTCCATGGAGTGGACTCAAGCACCTTTAAATACAAAGGCAGGCAGCAAGCATCTCACTGCTTACTGGGGCTTTGAGAGGCGGGACTTAAGTTGGGAAAGCTTAGGAAGGTTTTTGTTTTGTTTTTCTTCCTTTCTTCTCCGCCCCCCCTCTCCCCTCCACCCGTTTGGAAATATGTATCAAAATGTAGCCTAGGCTGGCCTCAAACACACGATTCTCTTGCCTTAGTCAAGAGTACAAGAATGCCCATCACACCCAGTGCAGGAAGGATTTTGAAATCATTATTTTGTCTGTGACAAGGCTCAAGATTCTGTGGAGGGCACTGCACAGACCTCCCCCTCCTAGGGTTCTGTCTCTCTGTTACCATGTATGACTGACTCAGTCAAGGCAGTGATACCCTAGCTCTGGAAAAGCAGCAGCCCTTGGCCTACAATCCCACAGACCCAGGGAATAGTTGTCCAGCTACTTGCCCAGCAGTGCAAAGCCTTGGGTTCCATCCCCCATACTGCAAAAAATCAAATAATCCCAGGCTACCCAGAGACAGAACCCTGGTAATTACAAATACCAGAAGCATAGGTCTCACCTCCACAGGTTTCCTTCGAAGGATAAAGAAGTTCTCTGCTCGCATCATCATGAAGCGCATAAACTTATGGCATAAAATCTTCTCAATCTCATCAGCCTGGTGACAGCAAGAGAAAGACAGCTCTCCAGTCAACATGCAAAACCACAGTGAGCCTGGCTTTCCAGTCCCAGGACCTCCCTGCTGCAGAGAGGCTTGGTAGGAACAAAGACTGCTGACCTTTGAACTGATAACTGAAGGGAGGACCTAGCCAGGGCATTTCTGAGATCTCCTCTCATGCATGGCGGGAACTTTGGCAAGCTAGTCCTTCATCAGCTCTAGTGGAGTCCACACCTGTATCTGAAGCTACCTGGCACGACTACCTGGGTATGGGAGGCTTCCTCCAGGAGTGTCTGCCTTGACATTACTAAAATAATCCAACAATCCTGAAATCTTTCCTTTCTCAAATCTTCCAATACCCCTGCATCTGGGCCATCAGACACCAGTAGAGCCACACAGCCTCCCAGTGTGTCCTTACTTTTTTAAAAAAAAAAAAAAAAAAAAAAAAAACTGAAAGCTTTCAAAGGCAAGAAGTTGCTAATCTGAATTTTGCAACATTGTTTTAATTGTATTTTTAGGGCTGTCTGCTGGGGAAGGAGCAAATGAAACTGTTTTCCTACTTAGGATACAAAGTCTCTCTTCAAGCCCGAAACAGAATCTAGGTCAAGTTTAAAACAAACATTAAATAACCATTCAAGTGATACTAAGACAGACAGCAACATTCAGACCTCTGTGATAGACATTTGTTAAATATTGCCCAAGGAAATGTGTAATAAATGAAATTCTACTTTATACATATATGAATTGGAACAGAGCAGAAAGCTCAGAAACTGAAATATTTATCATCAATTGATTTCCAGCAAAAGCACCAAGATCACAACAGCAAGAATTTCTTCAACAAATTGTGCTGACAACTGAACATTCACACGTGGAAGAGTGAAACTAGACCCTTATCTTGTACCATATACAAAAATTAACTCTAGATGGATAAAACACCTGTAAGTAGATCCTCCAACTATAAGACTACTTGAGAAAATACACAAAGAAAACGCCATGATACTTGTCTGGGAAATTACTGTTAGACAGACATTCAGTTCCGATAGCTTCACCAGAACTCTTGTTGGCATTTTCTTTTCTTTTCTTTCTTTCTTTCTTTCTTTCTTTCTTTCTTTCTTTCTTTCTTTCTTTTTTTTTGGCATTTTCCTTTCTGATTCTGGATGTATCATCCCACCCACTGCTGGCCTGCACAGTTGATTCTGAAAGGCAACCTACAATCAGACAGTCTGTTCTCTCTCTCTCTCTCTCTTTGAATTTTGTATGCGCATGTGTGCTGTACCATCTATTTTTAAATGAAGTGGCAAAAACCCATGGCTATCAAACCAGTGCCGGTTGGTACGGTTCTGAGTACACACAACCACCACCTGTTAGAAACCTTCTCTGGCCAACACCCAACTGGCCCCACGTCCTTGCCTGCTACACTTCCTTTTCTGTAATCCAGAGCGAGGCCTCTGAGATAGGGTTGCTGACATTTTATTCTACTGACCCACTTTTTGTTTTGTTTGTTTTTTCAGATAGGGACTTACCAAGTAGCCCAGGCTGGCCTTGGCTTTCCATCTTTAGCCTCAGACGTCCAAGTGCTAGGATTACAGGTACCTGCCTCCACCAGCTTGCTCTGGCCAGTCATGCCACGTAAACTCCTGCAAGCAGGCTCTGACTCTAGCCCGCTGACCTTCCAGATGGGACCCTGCTGTAAAGAGCACTCCTAACTATGCCCCTCCTTGGCGACTCACCTGTTTCACAGCAATGCTGACCCGGACAGAGTTGATGGAACCCTCGATCAGAACCTTTTCCTTCTCATTCCTGCTGATGGTAACAGGTTGCAATAGGAGCTCTTTGCTACTCCTAAAAATACAAAATCAGAGGACCAAGCTGATGCCATTGACTCTAGGCATTTGTAAAGGTACCTATGGTTTATAAACTGTCACCATTTGAAAATGTCTATTGAAAACCTTGTATATCAAGTAATAACATAGTCCATCCTAACATTTGAATTGTTTGATATATAGCAATCACTTTGGGGATGGGGAATATAGTTCAGCTGTAGAGTGTGTGCCCAGGATGCCCAAGGGTTCAATCCCCAGCAATAAAATGTTTTTATCATCTATGTGGTAACGCAGCTTTACTTCAACTACGTACATCTCAGATTTTTTCCCCTTTGCTTCTTTTGACTTCTTGAGAAAAGACTTGTTGTGTAGCTAAGGCTAGCCCTGACCCTGTGGCTCTATTGCTATTGCCTCAGCCTCCCATGTGCTGGGATTAACAGTCTATGTCATCTCTTGCCAGATGAAATTTCAAAGAGGAAGAATATTTACTTATGGAATGAAAACCAGATAAGAGAAAAATGCATTCAAAATACCAAGTATTTGGGTATAAGAGGGTCTAAGCTGTCTGGCAGTTATTAATGATAAAAAGTAAAAAAAGTCCTGATCCTTAAATTATTAATTCAGAGGTGTCATCTCTGGCAACTAAATCCTGTTGCCACTTCTGGAGCTGCCAGTGACTCGGTAACACTACAGGAGACACTTCTGCACAGCTGCTCTAAGAAGCCACACTCTGGGGTAGGTCTCCCACAGGGTTTGGCCTGTCAACCCACTACCCTATTTTCTTAATTCCAAATAGGGAACCACCATTCATCCAGCAGCAGGACACAAGTCACTGGAGGAATGTTGGCAGTTCTAAGACATTAAATTCATGACCCCCTTAGGCAGGATCTACTCTTCTCAGCCCCACTCTGGCCTTCTCCCTACCTGACTTCGACCTCTGGCTTGTTGTGTCTTTCCACGACCTGGGAGGAGAAGTTCTCCAGGCAGAGGGCAGCCTGCAGTGTGGCCCGCACGGCACTAAGGTAGGGGCGGAGAGTGGCAGTCTGCAGAAATAAACCCAAGATTAGGAAGGACCAGGACCAGAGTCTGCCTCACCAAAGCCAGTCTTGCCGTCGTTCCCCCCCCCCCCCCAGCTCCTACGAAGGAAGATAGTACTGAAGGCTTCAGGCAGTCATCACACAGAACAGAATACACCACACTCTCAAGATACAGCCCAGTTGGGAGCCTAGAGCGGTGGTTCCCAGCAGCAAACAACGCTGCTTGGAATTTAGTAAAATGCAGAGAAAAAACAAAACAAAACAAAACAAAACCCTGACAGTTATGACCTAGGGGCGGGGCAGGGACCATGGACTTCAGTGGACATAGGCAGCAGGGGGCACGCTTCCTAACATCTGGAACGCACAATACAATTACCTAGCCCCAAAAGTCACCAGTGCCGAGGCTGGGTAATACTGTTCTAGAAGGGTCCATGTCTTCCACCTATTTTCTACACTGACAGATGTATTGATCCATACCCTGAGCATGCTGGGAGTTCAGTCAGATTACTCCTGCTCTCAAATAGCTCAACTGGGACCACAAAGGTAATGGAGGGCAAAATGTAACATAACTAGATTTTTCAATAACCTATACTCAGGAAGCTAGTTTGACTAGATACTAGATCAGGGAGGTTTAACAATGAGAACAGTAGACTGAGGACATTCTCAGTAGAGTGGACAAGGTCAGCTATAACCGTCAGCTGCAGTACATCTCAGTCAAGCTCTCCCCTCAGGGCTTATCACAGGCCGCCCATCACCTGTACTCTCCTCCCGCGGCTTAGGTCAGTCTCTCCGAGCTCAGCTTATTGAGGAGGCCTCTTCCTTCCTCAAAGTGGTCTTTTCTACTTCCTCCCCCAGCATTTACGATAGCTTACGATATGTACACTTTACATATAATCCACAAGACATTTTCATGTGGTTTGTTACAAGAATTTTCCTCCACTAGATTGTAATTCTCAGGGTCAACAGACAACTAATTCAGTACCTCCTGGACACCGTGTCTTACAAATTTCCTATAGAGTAAATAAACACATGATCTATGAGAAGCATTTTAAACCACACAGATCAGGCTGCAAAGACAGGCTGGGATAAAACGCTAGACAATCTACATGCCAGTCCAGTTAGCTTTTCTCTCAATGTGACAGGAAGCACTGGGACTTTCTAAGGAGGAAGTTACATGGCTTCAGCGGCACAGAGGCTTTCTGGAGAATGGGATGGAGAGGGAAGTGAGACTCACGGCCGAGAAGAGGTCTGAGTACAGACTGGAGCAGTGGAGACAGGCAGGGGAAGTTGAACAAGTGAAGACAAACGGGACAGACATCAGACAGAGTGGGGGAAAAGCTAAAAACCTAACTAACTTCCGGTCAGTGGTCACGGAGCTCGGCATCAGGGTCTGTCTACATACTAGAGAATTCTACTTATATGTCAACCAAGAAAAGGCAAAACTAGAAGGGCAAAAAATTAGAAGTTGTCTGGGGTGGCGGGTGGCATTGGAAGAGCGACAGAAGTTCTCTTCCTTGATTGTAGCAGTGCTGATTATTTTGTCAATAGCCAAAGAAAGAAAACTAAAAGTGAATTCTAGGTAGCTAGCCCTGTGATGTTCGCCTTTTAGTGAAAAGACGGTTTCAAGTACATAAACTTAAACTGGGCGGTGGTGGCTCACACTTTTAATCCCCGCACTCAGGAGGCAAAGGCAGTAAGATCTCTGTGAGTTCGAGGCCAGCCTGGTCTACAGAGTGAGTTCCAGAATAGGCTCCAAAGCTACAGAGAAACCCTGTCTCGAAAAACTAAACCAAACTAAAACAAAAAATTAAGTACAATAAACTTAAATGCTTAAAAATGAAAAGCTATCTCCTCAGCCAAAGGGAAACGGCTTTCAGACTGAGGAATGAAACCAGTTAGGACACAGGAGAATGAACAAGTTTAGAAAGGTGGATGACGTTTGAACAAGAGGGTCTAATTTCAATGTGTCTCCTCCGGAGCGTCACAGGAGCGTGGCAAATCAGTCCAGTCTTCAGAACTGTGGTCATCAAACCCAGCATGACCGGGAAAAGCAATAGGAAGAGAGACCCAACAGTACGGAACACCTACAGACACAAACCCGAGCATCCCCTGGCAGGAAAGGGCCAGCGGTCATCAGCGTTTACACACCTTAAGGTCAACACCGTACCGCACTACTAGGAAGGAGTCTGAATCACCACAGAACCTTCATTGAGGCCTGGAAGCAAAGGGCTAGAGGGACCGAGAGGGTGATAAAAAGTGGACACTTGCCTCGGGGTGCCGTCAGATCAAGAGGGCAGGCGGGGACAAGGGGGTGTACTTAGCGAACGAACCTCTACCGTGGATGGAGAGGAGGCCCCGCTTCATTCCTCAGCGGTACTACCTCGGCTGCGAGCCGCTACCACAGGCCTAATAGCCCCGCTTCCTGCCTCCTCGAACTTTGGGGAGAGGCCATTCCTTCCGGGGATGCCAAACTTGGAAGCCTCTGGGCCCGCTCCTGCCCAGCTCACCTCCCAGCTCGCCCCTTCCTCCTCGCCTCGGCCCTCGTCCCACCCTCTGCCTCCCCATTCTCATCGTGCCCCCTCATCCCAGAGCAACCTCCGGCCGCAAGCCCTGGCTGCAAACAGCATCTCCCCCAGACCCAAAGCCTCTCCAGGCAAGACACAAGGAGGCCCCCAGCCCAGGGTCTCTCACCATCGCGGGAGCTGTCTGGGCCGGAAAGCGGAAGTACGGAAGTGCCCGGCCCCGCGACGCCTGCCCTTTCGCGAGAGGCGCAGCCGCAGTCTCCGCCAGCACTTCCGGGGAGGACCATTTCGGTCAGGACCGGGGAGGAATTACCGAGCGACGTTCGGATCTCCGGGACGATTTCATACTCGGACCGCTGGGACTTGTAGGAGGCCTGCAGTGACACAGAAGTACTCGAGGCCCCTTGGGTCTCGGTACATCTTTTGCCAGCGCCCTTGGTTCTTGTGGCCTTGGTTGTAACTTTATCCCCCCCACGGAACAATAGTACAGCCCGACCTCAGGTTGGGCACCAAATTAGGACAGGCCGAGCCGGAGAAGCCCGACGTTTCTTCCGGCGGTGCTCCCCTATCCTCTCCGGACTCCTCCTACTAGCAGCCCTGTGGCTCGGCCCGGAAGCCGGTCCCTAGAGAGAACTTGATTCTGAGCCCCGCCCTAGCCCCTGGCTGCTTCCTAGGGGACACCTCAGGCCTAGCATTCCACCTGTCGGAGGTTCGTAGGTGGCCTTACACCTCCCCTCCAGGCCACAGTCGGCTGGCCGTGTCCCCGCCCTCGCGTCAACTGCAGGGGGCCCGCCCATAGCCAGTTCCGGGGCGGTTGCTCTGATAGCCCTGAACTCCCCGCCCCCTCCTGCAGCCCGGGGCCTGTAGGAGGCCTCAGAAAGGAGGTAGGAGAGGTGGGGGCTGTGTGAGGGGCTCCCTAGAGGACGAGGACCCTGGAGGCGGGATCTTGGGGGCGGCACACAGGTGGAGCCAGCCATTAAGCAGTCCCACTTCTGTGCCAGGCGCTGAACTGGGCATTTGACGAGCATCACTTCTTAATCCTCAGAACATTCCAGGGAGGTAGGTACCCTTAATGTCCCCATTTTACAGATTTATACTTTTTAATGGGGAAACGGACCGAGGCATCATTTCTTGTCCTGGGAAAAAACTGAGATTCAGGTTAAATAGCATGCTTCGGAAGGGCACAGAAGAAGAAAATGGGCTGGAACTTAGTTCTGTCTGCTTGACCAGCTCGTGTTCCAAACTAGCTAGGGACAGAGAGAAGGTGCAAAGGTTTGGAATGAGGTGAGACAAGGAGAGGCTGGTCGAACCCCGTAAGAAAGAATGTTTGAAACAGCCCACCATAGGAAAACAGAGGCGATAGGAAGATAGGGCAGACTGGTCTCTGTCTCTCTGTCTGTCTCTCTCTCTCTCTCTCTCTCTCTCTCTCTCTCTCTCTCTCTCTCTCTCTCTCTCTCTCTCTCTTTGGTTTTTCGAGACAGGGTTTCTCTGTGGCTTTGGAGCCTGTCCTGGAACTAGCTCTGTAGTCCAGGCTGGTCTCGAACTCACAGAGATCCGCCTGCCTCTGCCTCCCGAGTGCTGGGATTAAAGGCGTGCGCCACCATCGCCCTGCTTGGTATCTCTCTTGTAGTGCAGGTTCAAGACTATTTGGGTTTGAATTGCAGTTAGGAGGCTGGGCCTAATCATGTTGTAAACTTAGCTGCTTGGGAGGCTGAAGCAGATTGTTCATAAGTTCAAGGCCTGCCCTGGCAACTTAGTAAGAGCTGAATTCATGAAAGGAGGCTGAATGTAACCTAGTCTGCACAAGGTCTGGGGCCCTGACCTGGCTCCCCAGTGCTACATAAGCCAGGTGTGGTTACATGCCTGGAATTCCATCACTTGGGAGGTGGGAATAAATCTTTGGTTTACTTAGCTACTTTGAGACCAGCCTGGGTTGTAAAAAAAAAAAAAAAAAAAAAAAAAAAGAAAAGAAAAAGTAAATAAAAAGGACTGGAAGCCAGGTGTGGTGGTGTACTCCTTTAAGCCAGCACTCTGAGAGGCAGAGGCAGGTAAAATGAGTACCAGGGCAGCCAAGGCTACTTAGTGAGACTTTGCTCAAAAAAAAAGAAAGAGAGAGAGAGAGAGAGAAAAGCACTGGAGATAGAGCATGTGTGAGACTCTGGGTTCAGTCTTAGCGCTACAAAAACAAAAACAATGAATTGCAGTTAGGAATCTAGGCAACTCTTTTAGAGTCTGTTTCCTTTTTTGTCAAAAAGAAAGAAAGCGTAAAGTCTACCCCCAAAACTGCATAATTCAGTGGCACAAGCCTCTGGTGCACAGTCAGGACTCTGTGACCAGGAGCTTTGCCGTCAGCCTGATTTATAAAGGCCCTGAAGCCTCTGTTGGGCCTCTGTCCCATTCCTCTTCGTCTCCCACCCAGTGGGCTGCTCCTCTCTAGTTTTCCAGGGTCCCATCTCCTGGGCCATGAGTGAGCTGAAGGACTGCCCATTGCAATTCCATGATTTCAAGTCTGTGGACCACCTGAAGGTCTGTCCCCGATACACAGCAGTGCTGGCCCGCTCTGAGGACGATGGGATTGGGATTGAGGAGCTGGACACCCTGCAGCTAGAGCTTGAGACCCTGCTGTCCTCTGCTAGCCGGCGGCTGCGTGTGCTGGAAGCTGAAACCCAGGTGATTTCCCCATCTCTGGGGAGGACTGTGTCAAGTTATGGGCATTAGGTTAACTCTCTCTGTTGAGGCTGAGGGGTGGATGGGAGAGAGATCCTAATGGGAATCACTACAGCAGAGTTAAGTCCCAAGGGCCAGGGATGCCATCCAACTGGACCCTAGAAGATGGACTCTGACCACTGTAGTCCCTGGATTCCCTGGAAGTTTCCTTAGATACAGTTGTTTGTGGAGACAAGACTCTCAGGGTGGTTGATGATTGAAATGAAGGTTAACTGGGAGTCTTGATCATCACCAAAAAACCCACTACCAGTGTATTTCCACAGGACTGGTATGCCCTTGGCATAACCTTTTTTAATTTTTTTTTTTTTTTTTTTTTTTTGTTTTTTAAGACAGGGTTTCTCTGTGGCTTTGGAGCCTGTCCTGGAACTAGCTGTTGTAGACCAGGCTGGCCTTGAACTCACAGAGATCCACCTGCCTCTGCCTCCCAAGTGCTGGGATTAAAGGCGTGCGCCACCACTCCCAGCTTAAATATCTTTTTTTTAGCCTTTCTATCAAACAGTCTGGGTAGTTTGGTGACAGAGGAGTCTGTAGACCTATGGTTACCTTCATGCGGGAATGTCACACAGGAAGACCTAGGCTTTGAAGGCTCAAATGCTAGATCTCAAGTTACCCGCAGTGGGAAAGAGGTGCTGTCTCTTCTCTCAGTGACTGCCTTTGTGTGTTTCAGATCCTTACTGACTGGCAGGATAAGAAAGGTGACCGACGATTCCTGAAGCTGGGTCGAGACCATGAGCTTGGTGCTCCTCCAAAACATGGGAAGCCCAAGAAGCAGAAACTGGAAGGGAAGGCAGGACATGGGCCAGGTCCTGGCCCAGGACGACCCAAATCCAAAAACGTTCAACCCAAGATCCAGGAATATGAATTCACTGATGACCCAATCGACGTGCCTCGGATCCCCAAGAATGATGCTCCCAACAGGTTCTGAGCCTGAGCATATAGAAGAGCTAGAGGGGGCCTAGGGACTTGGTGGTGGAGTCTAAGGAGAAAGGAGCCCAGAGGCGCCTACTCAGGGTCTGCTTCTCCTTGCAGGTTCTGGGCCTCTGTGGAGCCCTACTGTGCCGATATCACCAGTGAGGAGGTCCGAACACTAGAGGAGCTCCTGAAGCCCCCTGAAGATGAAGCTGAACATTACAAGGTAGAAACCCTGGGCTTCACAGTCAGAGAACAGGAGGGCTCAGAGGTGCCTCTGAATCCTAGGCAGCAAAGCCCGCATCATCTACTTCTTCTTTCCCAGCCTCCTGCCTGCTGCATTTCCCCTGCAGACACTGAGGCTCAGCTGTCTGTCCCCAGTGGTGCATGTGGCAGTGAAGTCCATCCTGTCAGCTTGCCTTGATCCTAAGAGCCTCTGAACACACTCCCTGCTGCTAGACTTCAACCATGCTTTCTTTCTTTAGTTAATATATAAAAGTTAAGTTCCTGTTTCTTTTCCAAGACACTAGAACTTTGCTATGGTACCCAGGCTGACCTTAAACACTTGGATTCACCTCTCAGGAGGTCCCTGGATGTCTAAAACCACAAACATATATCACTACACCTGGCTTAAAAGTTTTTGGTTTTGTTGAAACTGGATTTCGCATAGCCCAGGCTAGCCTTGAACTTTGTGTAGCTAATAGTGAGCCTGAACTTGTGATCTTCCTTCCTCTGACTCCCTGTGCTGGCATTGCAGGTGTGTGCCACCATGCCCAGTTTTGCATTCCTGGCGGAACCCAGGACCCTATGCATTCCAGGCAAGCTCTCTACCAGCAGAGATACATCCCCAGCAAGTTAGTTTTGTTTATCATGAAAATAAAACATGCCCCATAAAAGAAAGTAGACAAGCCCGATGGTGGTGGCACACACCTTTAATCCCAGCACTTGGGAGGCATAGGCAGGCGGATCTCTATGAGTTTGAGGCCAGCCTGGTCTACATGAGCTAGTTCCAGGACAGGCTCCAAAGCTACAGAGAAACCCTGTCTCGGAAAAAAGAAAGAAAGAAAGAAAGAAAGAAAGAAAGAAAGAAAGAAAGAGAGAGGACAAATGTGTGAGGAGGGGGCTCTACCACAGTTAACTGCCACCGCAGGTGTGCTGCTTCTAGGCCATGCCTAACCCGTTAGCCACAAGATGGAGTCCAAACTTCTCAGTTCTTGGTGACACCTGGGTTCCCTTCAGTTTTCCTTGGCCACGCCCTCTCCTGCTGCATTTACCAGCTGCACCAGGCATGTCTTCCCCCTACTAGTCTCACTAGGGTCTGTGCCCAAGCTCTCTGAGCGAACCATGCTACTGCCACCTTAGATGCCTTCCCAGACTCCTCAGTAGAAAGAGGAAGCTGGGCCCAGTGGCTCACACCTGTCCCCCTTGGGAGGCTGAGGCAAGTTTGAGGCCAGCCTGGGCTTACAAGTGTGAGGTCCTTTCCCCAAGAATAACAGAGGAAGTGGTCTCACTTGGTGACTCCGGGGTCCCTTGGCTGCTTTAATTACACTTACCTGAATTAAAAAAGAAAAAGAAAGAAAGAAAAAAGAAAAGAAAACATTTCTTTGAGGCCAGAGATGTAGTTAATGATAAAGCTCAGAGGTAGGACAAGTGTTTAGCATGGACAGGGCTCCAAATTCAGTTGTGACCTAAAGAACTGCAGCAACCTGTAATCTCACTCACTGAGTTTGAGATCATGTCCTACACAAGTCCCTGTCTCAAAGCAAGACAGAAAGAAGTAGGGAAAGGCAGTCCATTTCAGCAGTGTAAGTTTAAGCAATACACACACACAATCCCTTCACATCCCTGCCTTGGGCCCTACTTCTCTTTAGAAGAACTACCTGTGATCAAGAGGATCCATAGAATGCCGGGCGATGGTGGCGCACGCCTTTAATCCCAGCACTCGGGAGGCAGAGGCAGGCGGATCTCTGTGAGTTCGAGACCAGCCTGGTCTACAGAGCTAGTGCCAGGACAGGATCCAAAGCCACAGTGAAACCCTGTCTCGAAAAAAAAACAAAAAAAACAAAAAAAATATTTCAATTCTGGCCACAAGGTAAACAGTTTTCAGACATAGTATGTTTGGTTTCTAGGAGTGATAGGCAAGGCTAGGGTGCAGTGCCTGGAAGATAGAAGGGTGACAGAAGGAACTCTGTACTTCCTAGTTTTGGTAGCACCAAGCCCAGGGACTTTCTGATGACCAGTGCCCCAGTAGACCC